ACTTATAAGACAATTTTCATGTTTAATACGGAAAGACATATTCTGTGTACAATATTTATAAAACAATTTTCATGTTTAATACGGAACGACATATTCTCTGTACATTATTTATACGACAATTTTCATGTTTAATACGGAACGACATATTCTCTGTACATTATTTATAAGACAATGTTCATGTTTGATACGGAAAGACATATTCTGTGTACATTACTTATAAGACAATTTTCATGTTTAATACGGAAAGACATATTCTGTGTACATTACTTATAAGACAATTTTCATGTTTAATACGGAACGACATATTCTGTGCACATTATCTATACGACAATTTTCATGTTTAATACGGAAAGACATATTCTGTGCACATTATCTATACGACAATTTTCATGTTTAATACGGAACGACATATTCTCTGTACATTATTTATAAGAGAATGTTCATGTTTAATACGGAAAGACATATTCTGTGTACATTACTTATAAGACAATTTTCATGCTTAATACGGAAAGACATATTCTGTGCACATTACTTATAAGACAATTTTCATGTTTAATACGGAACGACATATTCTCTGTACATTATTTATAAGACAATGTTCATGTTTAATACGGAAAGACATATTCTGTGTACATTACTTATAAGACAATTTTCATGTTTAATACGGAACGACATATTCTCTGTACATTATTTATAAGAGAATGTTCATGTTTAATACGGAAAGACATATTCTGTGTACATTACTTATAAAACAATTTTCATGTTTAATACGGAACGACATATTCTATGTACATTATTTATAAGACAATTTATTTGTTCAACTTTTTGCGCTGTACTTTACATTTTTTTTTTCAGGTCCATAGGGTGGACACTTACTTTCAGGAGAGTCATCTCAGAAGACCTACACGTCACACAACGTCTGGAATGATAGCTACTGTTACCATATCTTGTATTGGTGGAGCGTGTCTGCTGCTATTGTGTATTTTGCTGGTAAGTTTGTTCTATTTTGTTCTTTTAGCGAGCACATAAAATACATTAATAACTTAAATACTCCTTTACGAAAAGCTCATTGTATTTACGATTTTCAGTAAATAGTTTATGTTGTTTTTGTTTTAGTGCAAAGCTACACAATGGGCTATCTGCACTCTGTTCACCGCTAGGAATCGAACCTCGGATTTTAGCATTTAAGCCCGTAAACTTATCGCTGACCCAACGGGGATCAAATAATTTATGAATCCAGCACACTTGTCTGCGCTATCCAGTGCTGCCATCTGCTATTTAAAATAACACACACATATATATATGTATATGTGTTAACAAATACAATTTGTTCAAGGTTTTAAGAGTAAGCAAGCTTAACCCAAAACCTTTAGGCTATTAAAACATATAAAACTATAAGGGAGAAAATTTTCAAAGAAAAACTACCAATGGAATTGTTTAGAATTATGGTCACTCACTCACTAAACTTTCTCGATATTGAAAGTTCGAAGTTTTATTTAGTACCTCCACTCTTAAAAGCTACCTAACACTAACACGACGCGAGTAACTTTGAGAAAGTACTTTTAGAAATTAGGTACAGCTCTGATCTACAAAATATTTTCACTTTACTATAGACCTAAGTAGTCTTGGTCAGTAAATCTGTCCGGTAAGAAACTTTTCAGTCACTAGAAGGCAGACGTATTTATGAGTAATCCGATCTAAATCTTCTTTAAAGTTAATCTAAACTAAGCCAGGTCATAATAAAAAACAAAGCTTTCTGTAATAGTTTCGTCAAATAACACGAGATTCTAACAACCCTGAGTAATTGCACTAACAAATGATACCAGGTTTCAACCCGTTTGGACATGGTTTCATGTTCAATAATCGTATATGACGTTCGGTATTGCTCTTTAGACGAGACAGAGCAACAGTCATGTTTAATCTATTATCAAAATGTTGGAAATATACGCTGTTTATGCTATTAATGAAGTGTTTACTTAAACTGTATCTTTGTTTGTTTGTTTGTTATGGATTTCGCCCAAAGCTACACGAGGGCTATTTGCGTTAGCCGTCCCTAATTTAGCAGTGTAAGACTAGAGGGAAGGCAGCTAGTCATCACCACCCACCGCCAACTCTTGGGCTACTCTTTTACCAACGAATAGTGGGATTGACCATCACATTATAACGCCCTCACGGCTAAAAGGGCGAGCATGTTTGGTATGACGGGAATTCGAACCCGTAGCCCGCAGATTGCGAGTCGAGCGTCCTAACCACCTGGCCATGCCGGGACCCTCCATCTCTTTGTAAAGAAACGCTAATAATTTCGTACGTATGTATAATAGACTCAAAAACTGACTTACTAAGGTATATACAAATAATCTGAAAAGCTGTGTTGGTGTTATTATAAACCCACATATATATTAACAATAATTGAAATTTCAAGATATTGTGAAAGTATTAGGAATGCATTTTTGACCATTTTATGACTTCTAAGCAGGTAAAAACTAGTCTATAAGTAAAGGATTATAAAACTTTGAATATGGTTAATATTGATTTCTGAGCACCTTACCTACTTAATAGTAAAACTGAACATGAACTTGATAATGAGCATAGCTAATTGAATATACTTTTATTACGTTACTGTTTATGAAGATTAGAATACATTGTTTCATCAATTGGGTACTCTCTCTGTTAACGATATTTTCGGCCGTAAACCCAATGATATCAGATTCAGTCAGCTTAGGATAATGTCTTAGCCCTAAATACACATATTGAGATAAAAGCATTAACAGGATTTTTAACTGCGTTGCAAGTGAATTAACATATATCCTTCCCTAAGACCTTCACCGTGCTGCATAGGGGACCTCGTTTTAATGGGGTAAGTAAGAATTAATGTAAAATTTTAACTCCGCAATATCTGGTGTGACAACTAATGTAAGATTTTGACTCCGCAATATCTGGTGTGACAGTTAAGGTAAGATTTAAACTCCATAATATCTGGTGTGACAATTAATGTAAGATTTTAAGTCCGCAATATCTGGCGTGACAACTAATGTAAGATTTTAACTCCGCAATATCTGGTGTGACAACTAATGTAAGATTTTGACTCCGCAATATCTGTTGTAAAAATTAGTGTAAAATTTTAACTCTATAATATCTGATGTAACAAATAGTGTACGATTTTAACTCCGCAGTATCTGGTGTAATTTTTCACCGTAGCAAATGAAAGTTAACACGAGGTTTTATGAGCTCGTATCATACCACTAAATAACAAACGATACCAAGTTTCACCTCTGCTGAGTTTGGACTTGTTTGACATTACAGTAATTTGTTTGGATTAGAAGTTTAATTCAAAACTATACAGGATCTACCTGCACATAGCCGTCTCCAATTTTAATACATTAGGATGGAGAGAAGGTAGCTAGTCAACAGCACACACCGTCAGCTCTTGGGCTACTCGTGTCTGACCGAATAGTTATATTTGACTGTCACTCTTATAGTACATGCCCGGCATGGCCAGGTGATTAGGGCACTCGATTCGTAATCTGCGGGTTCGAATCCCCGTCATGCTCGCCCTTTCAGACGTGGGGGCGTTATAATTTTACGGTCAATCCCACTATTCGTTGGTAAAAGAGTAGCCCAAAAGTT